ACTAGCATGAGTATGCAATAAATATACTAAATAATACTTCAAAGCAATTAGTATAATATTTCAAAGTAGTAATTATGCAGGAACAAAGTCTAAAACCTAAAATGTACGAATTTTTGGTAACCCACTCAAGCAGAATTATATATAGGAAAGAAAAAAAAAAGTTGCACTTGAGTAAGTTATCTCATCCTGGCAATCAAAAGAGTTTTATAGTTGTTGATTATCTATCTGAAGTTTATGGGATACCCGATGCTTATGAATGTATCGATGAGAGTCTGCCTTTTCGCCTAGTTCTGGACATCGATGCGAGGCAAAAACCTGATCCTATGAATCCCAAACACCCTTCTTTAGATGAATATAAAATTTCTCGTGAAGATTTATTATCCAGAATCTTAATTGCCTGTGCTGATATTATATACTTCGATTTAAAACATCTCATAACTTTAAATGCTTTACCTTAGCTAGTTCGTCTAATACTAATAAGTGCAGTTGGCATATTGTATATAATTATACACGTTTTGTTGACTACAGAGACCTTAGGGGCCACTAAGACCAGTAAGTGTAAATCAAAGGCCATAATCTTAGAAAGATATATGTTTTTATACGATCTAGAAAATGTGTATAATTTACTAGCTAATTTGCAAAACACATGGCATAGGGTAGTTGGTCTAGAATTACATGCTATTGAACCTTATCAAAGTTACAGGATGATAAAAAAGATGACTCGTCTGAAGTGGATATAGATAATATCATTGAACTATATTATTAAGTACTCTTAGCAGGATGTGGCAATTTCAGCTAAGAAACTTGCAATATTATTTATAACCGTATATTTTTTTTATCATATAATAATACTGGCTAACTTCAATTTCTATCTATGATCTGGTCACGAGGTAACCTCTTTCGGTCTCAGTCCTCTGATCATATAGTCCGGCCATGGATATGTCCGGAGATATAAATCGCTAGTCTGAATGTATTGGTTATTTTTTTTTTCCTAACCATGAGCCATATAATTGCAATTAGTAGCAAGATAAGTATGGAATTTATTATCATTGGCATCATTGAGGAACCTGCAATGATAGAGACAGTTGTTAGTAAAGGCTCAGCTTCTGCACCACCTACAGAAAATATTTGTGAGGGTAGAGGATTAAGAGCAGAAAGTTGTGGTTCTTTTGGAACCTGTTTACTCACTCTTTCTTTCGTATCGTTCGTAAGGGGAGGCTCATACTCAGCTGATCTTTCTGAAACTACTTCATTATCTTTCTTTAATACTAAAACTCAGAGGTGAGAATTTTCCTCCATCAAATTTGATTGCGCCAAATATAATCTATCTAATTCCCATTTATATATAATATCTGTTGCCTCGATCTCCTTTTCCATACATTCTATTTCATGTTTTTTTGAATTTAAATCCTCCTTTACCCGTCCCAATTCAAGCCTGAGAGAATCGATTTCGGATAAGTTTATTTGGGCTGGCTCCTCTAGTAAGCCTTCTACTATATTCAAACCTTGGAATATAGGTGGTAGGGAACCCACTCGTTCTAGTTTTAGATGCTTTACTTTAGCTTCCAATTCATCTATCTTAGCTTCAAGAGAAATAATCTTGACCTTATTGAGGGATGATACTTTTTGGGCCAAGGTCGCTTCTCTCTTCAATGATTCTATTGAAGATTTGAGTGATTTTATTTTAGCAGAATATTCAACTTCAAGCTCATTACAGGACATCTGTTCAGAAGTAATTTGGGATCTAAGCCTAGTATTAACTGCATCTATCTGGCTAATCTTATTTTTAACAACAGTATTGATTTGGTAAAACTTCTCCTTTTGCTCCGAATACTCCGAAATTCTAGCCAACAGCACTTCACTAAGATCATTAATTTCGGCTTTGGATCTAAAAGCAGAATATAATTTTTTTTCAAGCTTTTCTTTATATGCACTACCCAACCGATCCCCAACCCCTTTAGGACCCCTTCTATCTTTTATATCTTTCAATATATGTATATTGGACATAATCTTGGCGTAGTTACATAGAAAAAAAAATATGTTGCATTTTTTTTTCGATCTCTTTCTCATATGCACTACCCAGCCAATACCTAGGATTGAATAATTAAAGTATTTAAATATAAGCAGTAAAATTTTTAAGGATAACGGATAGCATTGATACTTCTAATACTCCCAATATACTACGTAGTACTGTTATTTCGCATAGTATTAATTTTTTATGTATATTTTTTTATTAATACCACAGATGGTTTCTATAGAATAAATAGAACTAATCCTTCTGATACTCCGCATAATACTGGTTTTTCGTATAGTTTTGATTGTATATATAGTACATATAGTTTACATAGTATTAATAATTTTTGTATGTTTTTTTAAATAGTATGAAAATCTAATAGATATCAATATAGTTAGAAGGCATATATACTATGATGCTACAAAATTATCTATTACAGATTATGAAAACATTATGCAATACCGTGATATGAAGTCCAAGCCTCTAGAACAATTAAGAAAAAAATTTCATATATCAACTTCTCGTTTATATCAGATTTGGAGAGGGAGGAAGTAGAAAAAGTTGAATGGAACTATTCGTCAGTTCTACTTTCCTATTCAAATACAAATACAATAGATAAACAGGATATACCAGAGCCCACTACGTTACTAGAAAACATGATCCAAGACATTTCACTAGAATGTAATACCTCTTTTGATAGCGAAAAAAGACTGGAGGGAAAAAACCCAAGTCTAAGTCTGTCACCATCTCTGAACTATCTATTATCCAGAATCAGCTAACACCAGTAAGCGGGTATTCACAAAGTGAACCCATCATCTTGGAAGATTTGAATATTAGCAAAGAAGATTTGCATACATATTATGAAAAAGAAGCTAGGCGGGATGAAAAATTAAAGCTGAAATACGTCGTAAATTAGCTATATAAAAGATGTTTTCTGCTACATGCCTCTATGATAGCCCATTTAGTTCATCATAGTATACTAATTTTTCGCATAATTTATTGAGATACTCTTTAGACTTGAGAGTATCATATAACAGTTTTTCAAGCTTCTCATAGCTTATATATTTTTTTTTAATATATCATCACTTACGTCTTGCAGATCCTGAGAAATTTTGTCTGAAGTCGTGGAATCATCACATTCAGAAGTAATATTTGCATAATTCACTTCAAGCTTGTTTTTGACCTTGTGCATAGTAACTGGAATAATGTAATCCTTTCCATTGAGGAGAATCTTCAACTTATTTTTATCCCAGTCTACTGTGCATCTATATTTCTTTAAAAGCTGGTTAGAAAATATTAGCATCAGCTTGTGATAATCTACAACTATAAAATCTTCATGAATAGTGAGTTCTTGGGTTAAAGTAATAGGCAGATTGCGGACAACACCAATAGATTCAATCAGAACAGTAGCTATACCGCTAAGGTCATGTTTTTCAGATTTGTCTATTTTAGCCTTAACACGATCAACAATGTTTTTTGTTATAAGTGAAGGCTCAGCTCCAGAATCAAGAGTCATAGCTAGAATCTTCAAATGTTTAATTTTACACTTCACAGTAGCAGTGCTTGTTTTTGGTTTCTTTTTCTGGACGAAATCAATTTCTATTGGATCATCCAAACACTCTTCCTCCTCTAGACTGGACTCATCCAGAGTTAAATCTTTGGAACCTGAAGAGGTATTATTTATCTTCTCCTATATTTGTTCTGACACAACGGGACTAGAATCAGAATTAGCGTTTGGGAAGAATATTGCAGAAAAAATTAGTTTAAGTTCACTTTGAAGAATTTTATGAATAGTTTTCTTCAATGAAGTTTTAGACATCTTTTTAAGTGATGATTTTTTGGAGCTGGAGTTTTGCTTTACTTTTTTTTTTTTTTTTTTTTGGTGTTAAGGTAGCCTCTTGGCCAGCTTCTTTTATTCGGTTATAGTTAACTTTTACAATATGCGTTTATAGCATCTCGTATACATATTTGAAGAGTACATACTAGTCACACGTACAACTTTTGGTTGCCTATTTAAGTAGTCCACTTATTACTAAGTTCTACACTAGATGTCATACCTGCAACCCGACTAGGGGTTTACCTATTTAAACTCTCTGCGCCTAGCTTTACTTTTTTTTTTTAACTTAGCTATGTTAACAGTGATATCACT